TATTAAGCACTTCCGACGCAAAGATGCCTGGGAAATTGAGCCTGGTCATTTGCTCCTAAAAGACCATAGCCTAGTAAACCCTACAAAGCAGGTTCTACTCCACAATTACAGAGTCACTGAGAGTCAGAATCAACTTGCTGGTGACTAACTAACTTTGTGAGGACTAAAGGTTTCTGTGAAAATCTCATAAAAGCCAAGTAGTCTTTTCTTTCCAGAAATAACAACGTCTAGCATATAGAAATGCCTAGTGGTTTCCTATCCTCAGAGGCCTATCAGTAGAATCCAGGCTAAGAATTTTTCATGTTTTTCACCAAAAACATAACAAACATTACTAAAAAAAAAAAGAAAGGACTGAATGCATAAGGTAAAAAAAGAAACATTTCATGTGGGATCGGGCTAAGGGTACAATTGGGAAAGAGCAGGGTGAATTACCAGGAAAGAATGAACATTAGAGGGGATGACTGCTGAAAGCCTTGAGGTTTTTAAGGGAACTGATTATATTTTTATATATAATTAATTTTACTTTTGTTATTAAAATTATTTCTTCAGCAATTTCTTCATGTACAGTTCACTGACACGGATTACATTCACTAAGTTGTGCAGATTCTCATCCTCTCTTGAGTTGTTCCTCTTACATTAACTTGAATTTACGGCCCCTAAGTTTCTTATCTGATCTTTTAAAATGATGTGGTCAATTTGGTCTCATGTAAATAGATCTTAAAATAAAATAACACAATTCTTTACTAGTTAAGCTATTGCTTGGTTTTTAAAAGACTTGAGTGAGTGGGTTTGAAGGGAATTTTTGGTGTAAAGCATAAAGATTCTCTCAAGGTAATAATAGGTGCAGTACATTCAGCCTTCACAGGCTCCCTGGAGTGAATGAGAATCTGAATTTATAAGTTTTCACCCATTTAATCAGACTTCTACAGAATCTCTGCTCAAAATGTTCAGTTCAAAATGACATCCAGTTCTAGTTGCATGGCAAAAGGGGCAGATATTCATGGTACTAATCTTTTAATTTAATGTTTCAGATAAATCAATAATCTTAGGATTTCCCCCCCCATATAACTCAAATTGCACCTATAAGTTCTACCAACACTGTGAGTACAAAACCCTGTAATAGGCACTCAGATCACATTTTAAAGCAGAAAGGCTTTTATGTTGTTAGATGCTGTCAAAATGAGTAAGACTCACAGGGACCCTATGAATCCTGCCCTACCCCGTGCCATCTTCAACATCTCTGACACACTTTAGCCCGTTGCTGCAGTCACTGTGTCACACTAACTCGTCAAGAATCTTCCTATCTTTGGCTGACACCTGCCCTTTCCAAGTGTAATGTCTCAGTCAGCCTCTCTTAGCAACTTGCCCAAAGTATATGAGACGAAGTTTTATCTTCTTTATCTCCAAGGAGCACTCTGACTGCACCTTCTTCAAGGTTTATCTATTTTTTTGGCAGTCCATGGGATGTTCAGTGCTCTTTTCCAACACCACAGCTCAAAGGCATCAACTCTTTTTCTATCATCCTTCTTTACTGTCCAACGCTCAGATGCATATCAAGTTACTGGGAAAAAAACAAAACAAAACCAAACCCCAAACCAAAAAACAGGGCCAGAATAAGCTGCGCCTTAGTCTTCAAACTGATGTCACTGCTCTTTAGTAATTTGGAAGGATCTGACTGCAAACTTGCCCAATGTACTATGTCTCTTGATCTTCTGACTGCTGGTACCAAGGTTGTTGACTGTGGATCCAAGTAAGATGAAATCATTAACAATTTCAATCTTTTCTCCACCTATCATGATGTTGCCTACCAGTGGTGAGAATTTTTGTCTTGATGATGAAATGCAATTCATACTGAAGGCTGTTCTTTGATCTACAGCAAGTGTTTCAAGTATTCCTCGCTTTCAACGAATAAGGCTGTATCATTTGCATAATGTAGATTGTTGATGAGTATTCCTCTAATCCTGATGCCACATTCTTCTTAATAGAGTCCAGCTTCTCTAATGATTTACTCAATATGCAGAATGAATCGGTATGAAGAAAGAATACAACCTGACACACACATTTCCTGATTTTAAACTATATAGTGTTCCTTTGTTCCATTTGGAAAACTGCCTCTTGGTCCAGGAATAGGTTTGGTATTAGCACAATTAAGTGTTCTGGGGTTGTCATTCTTCTCAGTGTTAGCCATGTTGTTGTTGTTGTTATGTGCCGTCGAGTCGTTTGCGACTCATAGTGACCCTATGTACAACCTTCTGACACACCCATCCCGATTACCCCAGTCACTGACTCAATCTACCTCATAGAGGGTCTTCCCCTCCTGCGCTGTCCCGCTACCCTACCATGCATGATGTCCCTTTCAAAGGACCTGTCTCTCCTTACAACATGTCCAATGTCAGACGAAGCCCCAGAATCCTTGCCTCCAAGGAGTAGCCTGGTTTAACCCTCTCTAGGATGAATCTGTTTTCTTGGCAGTCCATGGTACATTCAATACTCTTCTCCAGCACCACAGCTCAAAGGCGTCAATTCTCCTTCTATCCTCCCTAGTCATTGTCCAGCTCTCTGATGCATAACAAGTGATTGCAAAGACCATGGCCTGTATCAGGCGCACCGTCAAATGTCTTTGCATAGTCTTCTTCTGACATCCATTTTGGTCTTTTCTTCCTCCTCTTTCAACAATCTTTTGCTCTCTTCTTGAATTTTATCTTTGATATCATACCATAGCTCATCTGTTCTTCCATCATTAGTGTTCAATGCCTCAAACCTGTTCTGGGGAAGATTTATAAATATAGGTGAGACAGACTCAAGGTCATATTTTGTTTCTTGTGGGATTGTTTTAATCTTCTGCAGCTTCAATTTGAACCCTCACATGAATAATTAATGGTCTGTTCCACAGTCATCACCTAGCTGGCTGGTTTTGACAACTGACATTGAGCTTTTCCAATGATTCCTTCCACAAATGTAGTCAATCTGATTTCAGCACAGTTCATCAGGTGAGATCCATGGGTAAAGTCACCATTTGTGTTGTATAAAAAAAAGTATTGTGATGATTAAATCACTGAAGATACAAAATTCAGTTATTCTATGTCTAGTCTCATTTCTGTCACCAAGACTGTATGTGCCAACTACCAGTCCTTCCCCACTGTTTCTGACCTTTACCCTGCAGTCACTCCTAATTTTTAATGCATCTTGACTGCATGTTCGGTCAATTTTGAACTCCAAAAGTTGGTAGAAATCCTCACTCTTCCTCTTTGGTTTTAGCTATTAGTGCATACATATACTAACATATGTTAGCACACATATTATCCAGAGAAGACAAAAGATCCAAAAATATCTTCCTTGTATGTATATGGACAGTATTTTATCACTCACAACACTTAAGGATAGATCTTCAAATTGTCTTTTTCATTATGAATGTAACACCAATCTTCCTCAGTCATTATATATAATCGATCATATGACTGTCTGATTCAAAGTGGCCCATGCCAGTACATCTCAGTCAACTAATGCTTAGAATGGCAAAATTCATACTCTCTATTTCATTTATCACAATTGCCAATCTTTCTACATTTATACTTCATACATTCCATGTTCCCATTATTAAAGATTGCTTGCAACTGTGTCTCCTCATTTTGAGTGACTGTCAATCTAGGCTCTACCTCTAATCCTATATTCCTCTGCTGTGCATAGGGTTTTCAGAGGTCTTTTATTTCAGAAGTGGATGGCCAATCCTGCTTCCTACTCTGTCTTAATTTGGGAGTTCTGCTAAAACCTGTCCACCACGAGTGACCTTCTGGCATCTGAAACACCAATGGCATAGTTTCCAGCATCACAGCAACTCATAAGTTACCCTATTAAAACAAATTGACAGACAAGTGCTGTACTAGAAAGAGCAAACAATAAACAAGCAAGCATACACCTATCTAAGCCACAATGTAATCAGCAACATATACTCATTCCCCAATACAATGAGCTGATAGGTGTTGTACCTCTAACAGTAAACGATAAAGACAATAAGGCATATTAATATCATGTTGTTGGTAGGTGCTGTTAAGTACAACTCACAGTGACTCTATAAACAAAAGATTTGAACCCTGTTCTATCCTGTCATCCTCACTTCTTGACACACAAGAGCCCATTTCAGCAGTTACTGTATCAATCCATTTAGTTGAGGTCTTCCTCTCCTTCACCAACCCTCCACCCTTCCCAGTATCCTGTCCTTCTCCAAGGAAAAGCCCCTCCTAGCAACATAACCAAAGCATGTGAGGCAAAGTCTCATCATTTCTGCCTCCAAAGAACACTCGGCTGCACCCTTTCCAAGATAAATGTTTGTTCTCTTGGCTGTACATGGAATGTTCAGTGCTTCTCTACACCACCACAGCTCAAAGGCATCAATTCTTTTTCTGTCATCCTTATTCACTATCCAGCTCTCAGATGCACAGCAAGTAACTGGAAAGACCACGGCCTGAATTAGATGCACCTTAGTCCTCAAACTGAAATCATTACTCCTCAGTTGTTTAAAGAGGTCCCTAACTGCAGATTTTCCTAATGCAATGAATCCCCTATTTACTGACTGCTGGTACTGGGGGCGTGGAGGGAGGGTGTTTAATTGTGGATCCAAGCAAGAGGAAGCAGTTCACAGTTTTAATCTCCTCTCCATCTATCATGACACTGCCTACTGATGCAGTGGTAAGAATCAAAGACCTAATCAATATCATGACACATTAATATTTCTGGCCCTAGCTGAGGCTGTTAGCAACCCACATGCAAAATCAATGATGTCAGTATTGTATAACTAAATCTACATGAGTCTTAGCTCTTTATTAAAGGTGGGGGTGCTAGCAATTTGAAAAATTAACATATATTCCCACAGTGGCAGTGAACCAGAACATTAAAAAGATCCTTTCATCCTCACTCTTCATATTTTGTAAGTCAATAAAATATAACACATGACATAAAAGGAAAAAGAAAAAGACAAGAACAAGAATGTAAACCAAACTTACCCAAAAAAGATGAAGGCATTCTGAAAAAACACAGCAATTCCAGGGTATACAGTGGATTTTTCTGTAGAAGTAATTGTAAAATTTACAGGGTTATGATTTCAATTCATCTTCTGTAAAGATATATTGGCCAGTATCTGTTTCTCGCCTAGCATAGCTGATTTTCCCAGCCAACTATGGTTGGTTTGAGTATTAAATGGCATAAAACATACTAAAGAGTCTAACGCTGGCTTAGTAAATGAGAGTTCTCTCATTCAGCGAGCAAGCAGCAAGGGTATGCTATGTTTAAGACACTGTTCACGGTACTGAAGATATTAAAAAAAAATATTTCCTACACCCAGGAGAGAATAAAATAGATGAATGAAGAGAATCAAATTCCAATGCACATCAAAAACCTTCTCCAAGAGGGTAAAAAGGAAAGCCTCAGATTAGGGAAAAATATTTGGTAATGACATATCTGATAAGGGACTTATATATAAAATTTTTTTGGTTTTGGTGTTGTTTTGTTGTTGTTGTTTTTCCTTTTTATATCTAAAATTTAAAGAGTCCTTGCTGTGCCCGCCCCTCGCTGTGATTCTCCACACTCGCAGAAACCAGAGATGCACACTGCGCATTGACAGAGAGGACATGGGCAGAACGATGGTGGCCAGGCTTGGATCGGGGCTGCTGCTCCTCCCCACGCAGATTTATTCAAATAATACAACTGCCATGCCACAATCGAGTAATTCCTCCCAGTATACCTCGGTTGCCACACGGTCACCCAACACCACCACCAAGGGCAGTGGAGGTCCCCTGCAGTGCACAGCCAGTCTCCTTGTGGTCTCGCTCTCCCTTCTACATCTCTACTGTTAAGAGACTCTGGCCAATAAACGCCTCTACTTTCCCATCCTCTCAACTCAATCCAATTGGTGCCTAGAAATCCAGTGTGGTGAGGAAAAACAAGATCCCCACTGAACCTACTGATTCCACACCTTATTTTATTGACCCAGAAAATGTTGAGAATCTCTGATTTCACTGATCAGAAGAACATGTGAAGAGCTTGACTAGATGATGAATGCCAGAATTGTATGTGGTTGAGTTTCCTGTACCAGATAAAGAGCAACAACGTCCACACGTCTAGAGATGATTTCCTTAAATGCGGCCTAGGAAACCTGGACACTTAAAACTACTTAAAAAAAATAGTTTTATCTAGAAATAAAGGATGGGGTGTGAAATGGTGATTCACATTTAATTTTGTTCATTAAATCTATAAGGCCATAAAATGATTAGGTAATATAAAAAGCTTCCATGGTTCTACTTACATGTACATTAGAAGGAACCTCCCGATGTTTCTATAAATACTCTATGTATTGTTTTAGCATTACTAATTTAATGCTGTTAAGCCCTAGAGAAAATTTTCCATTGTTATGCTACCACTGTTTTCTTGGGAACTGAATTCTTTGAGGCTTTGGGTTTGACACTGCATTTGACTTTTTAAGTAGCTGACCTGTGTCAGGGAATGATGGATTGGAATGTAAATTGAAACATAATGACTAAATTTTGCTTATACATTTATAAAGTCAGGGTAGGCATTTCACATCACCTGGTCACCAGATTGAGTGAGCTAAACTGATTCCAAAGAGTAGGAAGTGCATTGACTTAAACGAATTTAAAAATGCTGCTTTTCATTTCTGCATATGTTAGATACTTTTTTCAATTTAAAAATTCATCTGTCTGAAGGTCAAATAAACAAAAACTTACAAAGGAAGAAGGCAAACACATGAAGGAGCCAAACATAATGTAAATCAAGGATTTGGTAAGTTAATTTTTGGAACTAATCTTCAATAAATTCACAAACCTTTATACTCTTTGTAAATACTTTTTTTCCAACTTTATGAATCAGAATAGTCACATTTTTGAAACACTTTCTGTACTAGTCATATTTTTTAGATTGTTAGAACCTGGTCTTAAGTTGGGTCTGATTCTGGGAAGTAAATCTTTTACAACGGCCTTGATGCACAGAAGATTTTTTAAAAAAAATTTTTACTAATTTTAATGAACATTTACAGAGATTTTGGATTTCCATTCATTCATTGTTGCACTTTTTTCTCTACCCCGCCCCCGCCCCCCCAATTCATTCCTCTCTTTGAAAAAACAAAAGAGAAACTTCTTGGGTGGTATCAAACACCCCCACCCCCAGAAACTTTTTAAAACAGACACTTGATGAAGTCTTTTGTTTCCATGGCCATGCGCGATGCTTAAATGTTCCAGTTACCTAATACGAACACAGTAGTTTCGACAACCAAAGTCATTTCCCCCCCATTGTTAGAAACCTCCATATGGAAACAACCAGATTCAACAAATCTCAAGCTACAGTTTGTGTGCATGAACACTCCTTTTGCTTCGTATCTGAATGTTGTACATCTGTTTGGATCTATGTACTGTGTTTGTGTATTTATGCTTTGATTCATAGTAACTTCTCATGTTATGGAATGGATTTGCATTGAAAGGAAACTGTAAATAAAAATAAATGGTTGCAAGAAAATTGTAAAGAATACTTAAACACCTCAACAAGAAAAAGGCAAACAACCCAACTGCAAAATGGGCATAGGATATGAATAGATGCTTCACCATAGACTACATTCAGATGGTAAACACACACATGAAAAAATGTTCAAAATCCCTAGCTCTCAGAGAGATGCAAATAAAAACAACTATGAGATATTATCTCACCCAGTCACAATAGCAAAGTTCAGCAGAGCAGCAAACAAGAAAGGCTAGCGAGGTTGTAGAGTTATTGGAACCCTCATTCACTGCTGGTGGGAATGTAAAATGGTGCAACCACCATGGAAGGCACTATGACACTTTCTCAAGAAGTTGGAAACAGAAATACCATTTGACCCAGAAATTCCACTTACTAGGAATATGCCCTAAAGAAACCAGAGCTGTCACCCAAACAGATATATGGGCATTTATGTTTATTGCTGTGTTATTCATAATAGCAAGGAGATGGAAGCAACCCAAGTACCCAGCAACAAGTGAATGGATAGAGAAGCTCTGGTATATTCACACAACGCAATACTACGCAGCACTAAAAAACAAGGAACTCATAAAATATTAAACAACAGGATGACCTTTGAGGACATTATGCTGAGTGAAATATCTCAGTCACAAAAGGACAAATACTGCATAACACCACTGTTATAAAACAGGACTAACATAGCTTGGAAGCAGGAGTGGCATCCACTTCCACAACAGCTTGCCTCTGGAAACCCTACGAACCTGGAGAAAGGACGAAAGTTATACAGGAAGTGTCCAAGACTTTTGTTCATGGGTCGCTATGAGTCACCTGCGACTCGATGGCACTTAACAACAACAATAACAACATGAGAGTTGGGGGAAACTAAGAAAAGCGGGGATAAATAAAGAATAATGTATTTGGACATATAAAGGACAGAATTGTTTAAAAGAATATGTATTTTTTAAAAAGTATATAATTAGGCATTATATTAACAGCCCAGAATAAGAGGTACATTACAAAGAGGACTGGGAAGGGGGGAAGAAGGGAGGTACTGTGCAACAATGAATGTTTAAAACAAAAAAACTGGATTGATGAGGGGGAAAGGAGAAGGGGTTAAAATGTGTGACAATGACTAAATGAAAATCTAACTTTTCTGTAAACTTTCTTTAAAAATCACAATTAAAATTTTTTTTTATTTTTAAAACATTGTTTTTTTAAAAAAAATCCAAAACAGACAGACCATCTTCCTCCAACCCCACTACAGAGCTAGACAAAATATGTAATAAAGAGAAAAGGAGGTGGGGGAAAGCAGTATAACAGATGATGATACTTTACAAGAAGACTTCCCAAGAATACAAGCATGCAGACGAGAGGGCCGGGAGCCAGGCAGATTATCTGGGGAGAAGACTGTCACGCAGCAGGAGCAGCAAATGTAAAAGTCATGTGATGTAAAATCGTTATCGCAGGAGTGTGAGGATCCAAGGGGAGAGAGGGTGGAGGAGAGGGGTGAGAATGTGGGGGAGACTAATCCTGGAGTCATACAATTTGGGGGGGGTGAGGGAAATGGAAGGAAATGGTGTGAATAACAATATGTTTAAATTTTGTAAATAAACTAGTATAAAAAATATATGAAAGTAATGTGCATGAGTAGTTAACATCTTTCAAAAATTATTCATATGTTTGAAGAAAGTGGCCAGGGCAAATCTACCTGTACTTTAAAAAGAGCTTTTGGTGGGCAGGGAGAAAAGTGCAGCAATGAATGAATGGAAATCCAAAACCTCTGTAAATGTCTATTAAAATTAATAAAATGGAAAAAAAAATTTTTTAAAGTTTGGTGACATTTTTAATAGAAGCTAGTGACTTATTAAAAGAATTATAATAGTCTTAGCATTTAAATTCACAAAAGTGCTGTCTTGTTATAAAAATATTAATTTAAAAATCAAATAAATAATCCAAAGGTATGTACATAACAGTAAAAACATCAGAGCTCACCCTCTGTGTTGATTGTGTTACACTGTAACATAATTCCTATTCTCACAGAGTGTATATTTCAGCAAAAGTACATGCTCAAACATAACTAATGATGGAAATTTACCTCCTTATGAAAATAAAGTCTTTGGAAACAGTAAGAAAAAGTATCTACAAAGCTTATCTGGCAAAAAGACATATAATTAATTAGCCATTCTAAAATAAAATTTATATGCATCTCATAAATGGCCTGTCAAACAAACAATCTAAAATAAAAAAAAAAAGTGATGTGATGGGAACGTGCCAGGTGAAGCAGAGGTCGCTCAGTGGGCGAAGCAGAGAAAAGCAGGCAGGGAGGAGGGTTGTGGGGTGAAGACCCTACAGAGCCTGGTAACTCACAGGAAGGTCTCTGATTCTTACAGAGTGACATTAATCATAGGGTTGCACAATTTGATGGGGGGGAACAATCCATTCAAACTTTGTAAACACATCAATATAAAATAAAAAAAAAATTAAGGAAAGATGGGCTCTTGGGTCAGTGGAGAGGACTCGAGAGTCTAGTTTGGGCATAACAGACTTGGCCACTAATGCGCATGAAGGGTAAGGGGGGAACCTCATCATTCTCAACTATAAACTGTGCTCTTGGCATGGAAAATAGTGTCAGGAACACCAGGTTCTCTGGTTTCCACCATGATGTTAAGGAGAAGTTAACCCTCGCATGCACATTATGAGAACCTTAGCGTTTATGGTAATCCTTGCCTATTCTACAACTGATAATGATTTCCACTTTGACAGCTGGTCATGGGCACTCATTTCTCCTGTCATGTAGTTTACTCTGTGGTTAGGTGGGATAGTTTTTATGGGGTAAACGAGAATTTACTTCAAACTTAGGCAAGAATAAAAAGAAAACAAAAAAACAAAACACCAAGTTAATAGTGCAGCCTGAACAGGAGAGTGAAGTTAGCAGGATCACTCTGTTGCTGATCTGAGAGTGAGTGTACTAACAGAGGCGGGGAGAGAAACCCATCAGCAAGCTATTTCAGGAAATCAGGAGGAAAAGCAGAGTGATGCAATGAGCCAGGTGGTAGCAAGGACAGACAGGATATGTATGACAGCAGAGGCTAGATCTGCTGATCAACTAGACATGAAAAAAGAGAAAGGCCATCTTTTGCAGGCATTAGCCACTCAAGGTTTTTGTTCTGAATGCCTCAAAGGATGGAGTAGTCAGTAAGAGAGTAGAAAACTGCTCAAAGGATTTTGTTTTAATTTCATCTTGGACTAAAATGCTCATAAATTTCTACCACTGCAGCTGTCAATGGTATTCATTAAATGACAAGTTGTTGTGTGCCATCAGGTTGGAACCAACCCACAGGTGACCTTCAAGCAGGTTTGCAGAGGCAGTAAATCACTCAGAAGAATGTCTACGCTCCTCCTCTGGAGCAGCTGGTAGATTCAAACCATGTGTCTTTGGGATTACAGCACAGTTTCTTACCATCAGGCCACCAGATCTCAAAATAGCCAATATATAAACTGTCAATCTTCTCTCAGAATAGTTTCCAGTTCATCTGGTTCAGATAAGCCTTCAGTGCTATTCCAGAGAATTCGGATGGCATAGGGAACGGCCCCGCTAACTCAGAGGCACCACCTCTCTAGCAGTTCAATCCACCAGCAGCTCCGCAGGAGAAATATGGGCATTCGCTTCCCATGAGATTGACAAGCTCTCCAAAGCCCGCCAGAGGGCAGCCAGGAGTTGGTTCTGACTCAATGGCAGTGAGAGAGTCACCACCATGTCACATTCAATAACGCTGCCACTGTTACTGTTGTTAGGCATCACCAAGTCAACTATGACTCACAGTGACCCTAAGAACAGCAGACCTGAGCCTAGCCCTATCCAGGGCTTTTCTCACAATCTCTGATATACTCACTACTATAGCACGTGTGCAAGTACGAGCTCTGGGGGCTTAGTGGTAAAGCATTGCACTGCAAATGAAAAGCAGTTCAAACCCAGAAGCTCTTTTGTGGCAGAAAGATGGGCAATCTGCTCCCACGCCTCTGAAAACCCACTAAAGGGTCAGCTATGAGTCAGTTCTGATTTGACAGCACTTAACCTTAACAACAAGAAATATATTTTTCTTTCTTTCAACTTGAGGTGTTTGGACATCAAAGAGAAATAATGTTTGGAACTATGCCTCATCACTTCCAGGTTTAAAATTTGAAAACGTATTGCCATTAAATCAGAACTGACTCCTTAGAGAAAAAACAAAAAATAACTCAAACTCAAGTGAAAAAAAAAAACAAAAAAACAAGCAAACAAAAAACACAGAGAGAAGGAACAAACAAACAAAAAATCAACTCAAACTCACTGGAGTCAGAACCAACTCATAGCAGACCCTCTTGTGGGTTTTTTGAGGCTATAAACCCAGCGGAGGAGACTGACCCATTTTCCTCTGCACAGATGCTGGATGCAAACAGCCAGGGAGGCACACAACTCATGCCACCAAAACCCCTTCTGCAGAAGAAAAAGGCTGCTAAAAACCACATGATTAAACAAGCTAAGCAAGAAGATGAGCAATCACCTCCTGTGCGATTTACAGCCTCTGAAGACCCGCTGGTGGGTTAGCTCTGAGTCAGGTTCTGACTCGACCGCTCTGAGTCAGGTTCTGACTCGACCACACATAACAAGAAATGAACAAAATATTTGTGGGGCACTGCATTATGCAAAATGTAACCAATGACACTGAAAGATTTATACAGAAACTGTTAACTAGGAACCTAAACTGTGTGTAAAGATTCACTGAAAAAACATTATTAAAGGTATATGAATTCATATAAAAATGCATGTACTTGTGGGGAAGGGAAGTTCTCCGACATAAATGTACTCTTGGTAATTGGCCCAGTTACATGAAAATAGCTTTATTGTAAAGCAACCAATTTTAGTGTAAAATTTCAGTATTTCATGGAAATTAACTATCAACTTTTCTTTTCTCTTACCTTTAACAACATAACCTCCAAAAAGAATCCACATGGATGCAATCAGAGATCCAAACGCCAACATGAAACCAATGAACAGCCAAATTCGAGCACCTTGAAAGAGCGAGCACAATTATTTTTTCATAAGGCAGCCAGCACAAATCAATGTTTCAAAAAGGAAACAAACACAAACAAAACATAGTTGTCATTAGTTTAAACCAAGTGAACGAATAGAGTAGATGCTCTTGTGGAATGGTTTGGGTACTCTACATACTGACTTTCCCCATGTATCTATCTTCATTATTCGATCATTCTCTGAAACAGTTCAGAAAATATGTGTAACTATATTTAGCAGTTTATTTTCTGTACGTTTTTAGAAATTGTGTTCCAGAGTTTTAAGCTCTTTAAGAGCATTTTCAAACAAATAAGTTAAAAATGCTGTCAAGGTGGCTCCAAATCAGAGATGCTACAAACAGCAGAAAAAACCTTGCCTGATCTGGAGCTATCCTCATGATCTCTGCTGGACTCAAGCCACTGCTGTAGCTACTGTGTCAATCCACCTGTTGAGAGTCTTGCCCCTTTTCAATGACCCGCTACTATATATCAAGCACGAATTTTAATTTTTCCCCTAGGAACACACCTACCTGATAACATGTCCAAAGTATGAGGCGAAATCTCACCATCTTTAGTTCTAAGCATTGTACCTGCACTTCACCCAAGATAGATTTATTTGATCTCTGGCAGTCCCCGGTCTATTTACTATCCTTCATCAACATCACTATTCAATGGGATTAGTTTATTGATCTTGCTTATTCACTGTCCAATTTTCACATGTGTTGCTGTTGCTGAGTATCACTGAGTCAGAACTGACCCAGAGCTGACCCTGCAGCCTTTAGGATTATAGTGCAGATTCTTACCACTAGGCCATCAGAGCTCCCTTTTCAAAGGTATATGAAGCAATTAAAAATATGGCTTGGGAAAGGTGCACCTTAGTCTTGAAAGTGACACCCTTTCTCTTAAGTACTTTAAAGAGGTCACTGGCAGCAGACTTCCCCACCGCAATATGCTGTATGATTTCTTTACTGTTGCTTCCATTAGAGTTGATCATACACCCAAGTAAAATTAGATCTTTGACTTCAAACCTTTGTTTATCACGACAATGTTTATAGCTCTAGTGTGGTGGATTTTAGTTCTCTTTATGTTGAGGTGTAATCCACACAAAAGGCTTTACCAGTAAATTGCTTCAAATTCTCTTCACTTTCTAAAGGCAAGGTTAAGTCATTGTTGTATCATAGGCTGTTAATAAACATTTTCCAATCTTGATGCTATATTTATCTCACATTAGTTTAGCTTTACGGATTATTTAATCAGCATACCGACTGAACAGATATGATGAAAGAATACAATCCTGACAGATAATTTTCCTGATTTTATGCCATGCAGTTATTTCCTTATTCTGTTTAATCACCTCTGGGTTTACAGGCAGATTGCACATGAACACAAGTAGGTTTTCTGGAACTTCAATTCTTCACAATGTTATCCATAACTTATTATGATTCACAAAGTCGAATGCTTTTGCATAGTCAATAAAACACAAATAAACACCTTTCTGTTGCTCTGCTTTCTGCCAACATCCTTTGACATCAACAATGATAGCCACTGTTTATCATCCTCTTTAGAATACAGCTTGAATTTCTGGTAGTTTTCTATTGCTGTACTGATCCAACCATTTTTAAATTATCTTCAGAGAGATTTTATATGCATAAGGTATCAATGGTATTGCTGGATAATTTTCACATTCTATTGGATTAAGTTTTTCTGGAATTGCCACAAATAAGGACCAAGAGGACCAGCTGATTGGCCAGACAGCTGTCTTCACATATATGACTGAGCACACCCAAGGGTACAAGGTTCTTGCAACACCTCAATTGGTAGGCTCTAATTCCTGAACCCTTCTCGTAATGCCCTCAACTAGAGGCTCTAATTCCTGAACCCTGTTTTTGGCCAATACTTTCTATGTAGCTTATTAGACTTCTTTCTTTGGTTCATGATTATATGCTACTTCCTAAGATGGCTCACTGTTGATTAATTCTTTTTGGTACGGTAACTCGTGCATTCCTTCCATCTTCTGTCAATGCTTCTTGTGTCATTCAATACTTTGCTCCCCGAATCCTTCACTATTGCAATTCAAGGCTTGAATTTTGTCTTCAGTTTCTGCCCAACAACTGCCAAACACTTCATTTTCTAACTCCACGTCTTCGCACATTTCATTAGAACACTCTAGTCTTCTCAAGTTACCCAATGAAATCTTCCTTTCACTTTTGCTTCTCTGTCTTCTAGAACACATTCAGATTCTCTTCTGACATTCACTCGGTCTTGTCTGTCTTGTCTTGTTGGTGCAGCTCTTTTGCTTGCTTTGTGTATGTATCCTCAGTGTCATCCCACAACCATCTGGTCTGTGCCATTAGTGTTCCAATGCATCAAATCCATTTTTTAAATAGTTTCTAAGTTCAGGACAAATAAACCCAAGGTCACATTTTGGCTTTCAGGGAATTGTTTTAATTTTTTTGTTGTTTCCAGTTTCAGCTTGCATATAAATAACTGATGGTCTGTTCCACATTTGGTCCCAGGCCTCACTGTAACTGATGATGCTGAGCTTCTCTCCCATCTTTTTCCACGGAAGTAGACAATTTGATTCCTGGCAAGGAATCTGACCTCTGATGAGGTCTGCATGTAAGTATAAAATAAGTACACTTTTCAAAAAATCACATTTAGTGATACATAATCTAAACAGTATCATATTTCACTTCAAAGGAAATCTGGAGTAAAGTAAGTTCAAATCTACTGTGGCTGGCAGTTAAGATAGTTGCACTAATGCTGTATTAACAGAGGAGAACAATTAACTTTTAAAGTACATTTATACAATATTGATGAAGATTTTTCTATAAAATAAATGGAGTCATTAGATTGCCTAAAGTGAATTCTGAGATAAATGAGTTTCTTTAATTAGCACAAGTACATTTTAATGAAAATGTTGCCTAGCTCAATAAAGCACAGCAAACAGAATGTTATATGCTGTTATCCAATTTCATGACCAAAATGTAAAACACTAATTCCAACATAACAAATCATTGCTCATAAGATGTAATATTAAACCAAAAACCAAACTTGTTCTGGGTCCCTAAAGCTGTGCCTGATTACTTAACATATTTTGAGTTGTAAAGAGTCTATTCTAATTACTGCCTTATTCTAATCAACTTTTGGCTATTCTTTAGAGTTTACAAGGTGTTTTTTTTACTTTTCCTATTTAAGGTCACCTAACAAGAGTGAAAAAGATGAACCTAACAGCATAGATCAAAGCTGTCTAAAGCAAATTTTCCTGTTTCATTAAAAAGGAAAAACAAACCAGCTGAACTTTATTTATATTCTGGTCTATTTCTGTATAGATAGAATATTTAAATTCACCATTTAAATTGTTTTTATCAGCCCCTTCAAATCCTTCAATTTCCCAGTTGAGAAAGAAGGGTCTGGGTGAACCCAGAGCACTAAATTCTATTGCATTAAACTTTAAAGATAAGCCAAATATTTTGAGAGTCAACAACTGTCTCCCTCAAACTCCTGAACAATAAGAAATAATTAATAGATCTCCCTAAATACAAGATAATCTCATTATCTGTGAATTTATGATATGCTAATTAACCAAATAAGCCCTGGTGGCCTAGTGATAAGAAGTTGTGCTGCCAACCCAAAGCCACATGGTTAAAATCCACCAGCTGCTCTGAGGAAGAAGGATGGACAATCTCCTCCCATGTGAATTACAGCTTCTGAAAACCTGACAGAGGGTCAACTATGAGTTGGAAACGACACAATGGTACCTAACAACAACAATTAACCAAATACAGTTGACAGAAAAAGGGAAAAAAATAATTTATATGGTTTCAAGTCATGAATTAAACTGTGTCCCCTCCAAAAAAAGTGTCAACTTGGCTGACCCATAATTCTCAATGGTTTGGCAGTTAAGTAGTGATGTAATCAACCTCCACGATATGATCTGTCAATGAATTATAAGGGGATCTGAGTAAGATGCAACACCCTTGTTCAGATCACAGCCCTCACAAAAGGGGAGCTTTTCTCTGGAATATGGACTACATCATCTTTTATAAGAAATAAAGGGAGAAAAGAAGTCATCAGGAAAAGAAGAACTTGACTATCATTAGGAAAGAAAATCTGGGAGCAGAGTGCATCCTCTGGTTCCAAGATCCCTGCCACTGAGAATCTCCAAGCCCCAAGACAGGTGCTAAAACACATAAAGATCTTCAAGCGACACCAGGCCCATGGAGGCTGAAACAAGGGCCTTCCTCCTGAACTGGGAGCCAACTGAGTGAAAACGTTTTCCCCTAGAGCCAAAATCCAGACTCCTCATGTCTACGTTGTGAGAGAACAAACTTCTGTTTTTTAAAGCTGTCCACTTGTGGCAATTTCAGTTACCTAAGACAATGCTGTAACTTCCATTCTGTACATACATTCTTTATACTGTTTTCCACTATATATATTTGTAGCTAAATAGGGTTATTTACTCAACCGTAACTTCTGTACCACACAAGTTATAACGGCCAGAAGTAATTTTTCTCACATGCTCTGGAATCTATCACCTCTGTTCCACTCTATTTTTTTTTAATTAATTTTAATGAACATTTACGGAGATTTTGGATTTCTATTCATTCATTGTTGCTCCACTCTACTTCTGACTTCAAGAAACTAGACAAGTGGTAGTTTTGAGTATAGTTCTCAACCTAAGGATGTAAACATGTATCAAAAGTTGTGGTTTGCATCTATTTACCTGTTTGACCCAGACAACCTTCACTGTAACTATCACCTCGAACTTGTCCGTTTGATACTGCATTAATCCTAAAGGAAGAAAATCAAATCAAGAATTAGGGTTTCTGACTCCAAGAAGAAATTATCCATGACATCACATTACCAGCTACAGTAAGCTAGAGTCCCTCAAATTTAGGTTAGGCCTCATGAGTCTTGAGAAACAGGTTCATATGACCTTAAGTGAGTCCTTTCATCCAAATACTTTCTTAAGAAGTGGCTGTTCCCTGAGGAGTGGAATCAGCACCTCTTGGGAATTTATTAGAAAAGACAATTTTCTAAACATATTAAGGCAGAAACTCTAAACACAAGGCAACAAAAAACTTCAGGAAAAACAAATACCGAAGGAAGAAGACAACAAATATGAAACAAATGAAAATGCAATCTGGATTTGAGAAGCTACTAACATTTGAAGGAGAAAAAAAAAAACACAAAAAAATTCTGAGTGGCCTGGGGACATGACCTTGAAACTGCTCTCATAACACATGACATGGCTTTGTAGTGAATTCTGCTTACAGATTTTACTAAATTTTTGTTCAACAGAAAGGATCTTGTTAAAATGTAAGACAGATCATGTCATTCCTCTGCTTTAAAATATCCTCCCTTTGTTAATATCTCGCTCATAATGAAAAGAAAGTCCTTAAAATGCTCTCCAAAACTATGTCATATTCTGCCTCTCTCCTCTAAATCTCTGACCTCATCTCCTCTTTCCTTTGGCCACACCATGCCAGTTATCCTGGCCTCCTTTGGACTTGCTGTGCTGTCTGCCAGGAATGATTCTTTTCTATATCCCCATAACATCAGCAACACTGTCATACTACTTGCTGATACCTATCTCTTTTCCCTTTTTTCCCCCTTGTCACATAACATTATTTAACACACTACATATTTCTTCCCCTTTAGTTACTATCTCAGTCATTTACTTTTAAGTTCCAGGAAAGCATGTTTCTCACCCCCTCTCTGCCCCCATTTCACTTATTACTGTATCTTTTCTATCTAGAAAAATACATGGACTGTAAAAGCTCAATAAATAATTATTGGATAAATAAGTAAAGCTCAATAAATAATTATTGGATAAATAAGTCTCTACACAAAGTCCATGGTTCCAACACTGATTGTTAAGAAATAAAAAGAGAGTTGTAAAAAGACAGAGAAGAGGGAAGGACAAAAAAGAAGACCGTTAATTTTCTTTAAAGCCCATCTTGATCATAGCCTAGCTGCTGTTCAAATAACATTTAAAAAATTAAGCCCACACAGGAAACCAGTGAGACCCAGAACTCTCTCATTTTTCCAGGTCTTGTAAACCTTCAATAGGGTGCAGTCTTACCGCTTTTTTTCCCTACCACTACTATTGCTCTGCTATTGTGCACAGGAGTCAGAACTGACCCATAGCTGACCCTCCAGCAGGTTTTCAGAGGCAGTTAATCACACGGAAGGAGAATGCTCATCCTTCGCCTACAGAGCAGCTGGTGGCCTTGAACCACGTGCCTTCAAGATTACAGCGCAGCTCCTTGCCACTAGGCCACCAGATCTCCTACCATTATTAGTGAAAGGTATTTGAGTTTTCCTTCTCTGACAGGTTTTGGCTTTACAAAGGCTCTGGCTCTCACAGATTTTCTCATATACAGATAGGGGAGCTCTGGCAGCTTACTGGTAATGAGCTGCAAGATCAACCTAAAGACACTTGACTGGAATCCACCAGCTGCTTGGTGGGAGAAAGATGGGCAGTCTCCTCCAGTGAGATTTACTGTCACTGAAAACCCACTGGAAGGTTAGCTGTAAGTCAGCACTGACTTAATGGCATATAACCATAACAACTGTGCATGTAAAACATCTGTGACAACCTATGTAAGCAGTATCAGTAACAGTGACACTTACATTAGGAAGGCTATGGTTGCTATAACACCACAGGCATGGTACGAGTGGTTGAACTCTTCCATAGTGGGATAAATAACAGCTGCATCTATGATAATCCACCAGCCTGTGAAAAACTTAAATGAAACAAATGAAAGTTACAGTGCAAGTGATGAGATCTTTTTTGACAAATTTCAAAATTATCTTTACAGTCAACACAACAACAAATAGTAAGTTCACAGCTCTGTAGACATGCTTTTCCTTTTGATGTCCCTAGCTTTAAGAACCACAATGTACAATGAATGAATGGAAATCCAAAATCTCTGTAAATGCTCATTAAAATTATTTAATAAAAAAAAAGAACCACAATGTAGACCACAATTTCAAGTGCCATGCTAAATTTAAGTTAAAAGCAAAACCCAATTGCCATTAAGTAGATTCCAATTCATAACATGCGTACAGGACAGAAGTGCCCCTGGAGATTCGAAAGCTGTAATCTTTTCAGAAACAGACTTTCCTATCTTTTTTTCCCATGGAGCAGCTGGTGGGTTTGAATTGCTGACCTTTTTGGTTGGCAGTCATGTGCTTAATCACTGTGCCAGCCGTGCCCTCTAATTTAAATTAAACCTCAAATTATAACTGATCCTAACTGAATATAGTTCTGAATGTTATCAAGTCCAAACATATATTAAAAAACAATTATAACAGCATCATTATCTTTAAACCTTAGAGCAGAAACTACAGTAAACTGGTATTAATATAATTCTGATAAACACATTTGTTGCTGTTGTTAGGTAATATCAAGTGGACCACAACACACGGTGACCCTGTGAACAATGGATACATACCTGCCTTAACCTGTGCCATCATTATCTCTCCTATCCTTGGGTCCACTGTTACAGTTATTGTGTCAATGCATCTTGGTGAGGGTCTTCCTCTTTGACTCCTACACCTTTCCAAGCCCCTCCTAATAGCATACCCAAAATATGAGACCATCTTTGCCTCCAAGGAATGCCAAAATACACTTAGGAGGTTTAAAAATAGACTTCTATCCTACTCCCAGGTCTGATTCAGTTAGCTCCAGCACTCCATCATCTCCCAGCAATTATTTAAAAATACCTATTTCTGGCTGGTCAAATTATTCTTATCAGGTTATAAATACACTCATACACAACTAGTAACATTTCTAATGGTTAGCTCAAGTAGTGCGTCACTTTTTTTTTTAACCTTTAGCTTGACACACTAAAAATATTTTTATGATCGAAAATTCAAAGCTTTATTTGCCATTTGGGAAAGCAGAATTTCCAGTCATGTTCAGTTTTGCCATTACTTTGGAAAAAGTATAGGATAATTACATTCATAGATTCTAAGTGCCAAGGATGAAGTAAAGGGAAGAATGAGGTATTAAACTCGGGAGTTTTATTCATGCTTTCATTTTAAATTTATTCTTTCGCACAAATGGTTCCATAAAAATCATAAAATACCAGATCCCTTGAGGGATTTGCGGTATAATGAAAAAATTTATACCATAAACTACTTCTAAGCAACATATTCTAATGAGTTCCCTGATTTTTTTTTATGTAATTAAGAAGAAAGCTAACTTTGATGTGTTTTCTTGACTGATCTACCTGAAAGTTTCTCGAACACTTCCTTGTAACTCAACGTATCCATTAAAAAACCTCATTGCTATTGCGTTTGTTCCAACTCCTAGAGAACCATCAGGTTTCTGAGTCTGTAAACTGTAATGGAGGAGGTTGTTCATCTTTCTCCTTGAGGCTGATACCACTGGTGCTTTCAAACCATCAAAAAGACAGTTTTTGAGTCCACCACCATGACTTGCTACAAAATACACTAATAATCCACACAGTGAATAAATACATAAATTATATCTTATGACGCTCCTTTTACTAAAAAGGAGAAAACTCAACACATTTCGAAACAATCTCAGCTCTCCGAATGGAATAAATAAATTCTCTCATACACAAAACAAAATAATATCGGGGTGGGGGGGTCCACATTTTAACTGTGTTTTCATAATTTATATAGTTTTTATATAGTTGCATTACAATTCTTTTTTAGGAAACAAAAAGGACTATCAACATTTATAAAGCAAATTCCTTGGTCAAGGAAGAGTGAATATTTTAAAAAAATCACAAAGACTTCAAAATATATAAGCACATCAAAATAATGAAAACTCCAAAATCTCTGTAAATGTTCATTAAAATTATTTTAAAAAATTTAAAAAAAAAATAACGAAAACCCCCATTGGTCATGATACTTACTAGAACACCAGCAGCAATGGAAGCAATAGTATTACGTTTTTCCCCCCAATCAATGCATTCGGAACATCTCAGGCCTTCTAAGAATCCAGACATTTTTTCAGGTCACGTAAGATAAATAATATACACTGCATTGAAACAGATGAGGGAGAGAACTGTTTAAAAGGAATATATGATTAGGTATTATTTTTATGACAGGAGTCCAGAATAAGAGCTGCATAGTAAAGTGGACCGGGGCGGGGGGATTGTGTAACAATGAAAGAATTTTCTTTTTTTTTCAAAGAGAAAAGTGAACTGGGGTAAGGGGTGTGCAAGGAGGAAAACGTGCAACAATGAATAATGGAAATCCAAAGTATCTATGAACTTTCATTAAAATTTCAATTCAAAAAAGCAAAGAGTATGTCATTTACTTCAAATCTGACTATAATAGAAAAATGATGTGCACACAGTTCTGAACTATCTTGAAAGCAATCAAAAAACTATGTGTGTTGTATACCACCGAGTGGGAACATACCCATAGCTGACCCTCAGGTGGGTTTTCAGAGGCAGTTACTTGCACAGCGGAGCAACTGGTGGTCTCAAAGCACATGCCTTTGGGATTGCAGCACAGCTTTTTAAAAAATTTATGTTTTTATTATGTGTGTGTGTGTGTGTGTGTGTGTGTGTGTGTACCGTCGAATTCAATCCGACTGGTCCAGGAGGAGAATATCCCTCCTCTTCCAGCAGAGCATCTGGTGGCTTTGAACTGAGCGCCTTTGGGATAACAGCACAGCTTCTATGCCACTAGGCCACCAGAGCTCCCATCACACAATTACAAATGCTTTATTTTGGGTTCACCTAATTTTTCAGAACATTTTATTTCGTTTTTGATGAATTTCTACATTGTAACTTTGGAATGGAAAACAAAATATGGAATCCTGCAGCTTTTTTTTTTCTTTTTTTAACATAAAAGATGGTTTCACAGAAACAAAATGAACAAAAGTGACTGGCCAAATATTAAAGGTTTCCTGACAACCACTTGACGCCCCCCCCCATAGATGTTTTATTTATTTTCAAGCAAGTTATTTAATTCACTCATTTACTCGTGTCAAGTTGGAATCTACTCAGAACTGATCCTCCAGCAGGTTTTCAAAGGCTGTAAATCTTATGGGAGGAGACTGCCCAGTTTTCTCCCACAGAACAGCTGCTCTGTGGATTTGAACTGCCTGTCTTTGGCTAAGCAGTACAACTGGTTACTGACTAGACCAGCAAAACTATTAGTTTATGTGAATCTCTCAGTAACCTTATCAGAAGACTTATTAAACCACAAAGTTCTTTTCTATCATTTTTACTCCAAACTAAATGATATGAGATTTACAGTTTAGGGCATTAGAATAGTGGAGAGATAAGTGTTAAATTTTGGCTCTGAGTTAAAGCATCGATTCAAATGAATTTTTTCTTGCTTTTAAGGAGTGAATACATTTTATGACTGTATATGTGTTTCTTCACTGAGATTAAGAAATAAAACACTGCACTGCAGGTTTTACCTCCTCCCACACCACTTCCTTTCATCTCACCAGTTTTTCTTTCCCCAAGCCTGTATCCAAGGGGCTTTTCATTTACTATCTCTACCTATAATTCTAATAGATGCTTTGCAACCAAAAAAGAAAGCATAGTGCTAAAGTAAATATTCATTCACACAAACACAAAAATCCACTGCTATTTAAATGACTGTAACAAGTCTAAATCGTCTTAGTGAATTACACAAAACATTTCAAAGGCACTCTATTTAAGAGTTCAGAAAACTGAATTACATAAGACTTCCAAATAATCAAGACACACCCAAACTCCTAGGAGAAAGGCTAAATCCATCTATGGCTATCTAGAAACACTAAACCCTTAAAAAGAGTACATTAAAAGAAAAAAAAAAAGGTCCCTTTTGCATATGAAATATTCAAAAGTGACTATAATGAAGGGAGATCTGGTGGCCCAGTGGCAAGATGCTGCGCTGCAATGTCGGAGGCACTCAGTTCCAGGTCACCAGCCACTCCACTGAAGGATGGGCGATCTCATCCCCTGCAATTAATTGCCTCCGAAAACTTGCCATAGAGGGTCAGCTAAAGATGAGTTCCGACTGTAGGGTACACAACAACACAACAAACGCCCTTAGGGCAATTTTAAGACCAGTTCAATTTGAGAAGTCACTCATATTCCTCCCTGGGAGAAACAGTCTAGTAGAGTTTCACTTCTCCCAAATGCCCCCGCCCCAAGTCCATTCGGCTTTCCATGATTACTGGCACACTCCTGCCCAAACTCCACCCTCCAGACTGTGGGAATTTTAGGTCTACAGAGTGTACAGACACTTGGAAAGTCTGGGAACTAGACGACCTCCCTCGCTTTGTAAACTAGACAGGTTACACTCTCTGGCGGCCTCGGCTTCACCATCACTAAAGTTGGAGTCTAAATAATTTTCAGGGAAACTGTGATCTCCGGAAGGAGGGACGCAGATTCATTTGCATCTTCCCCGTCTAGTCTCGCAGGCAGGACGTCGTCGCCCTCTCCAACTGCAGGCCGGACAAAGGACATTGAAGTGTCCAGGAAGGGGTCCACTGATGCACAACCTCAGTCCACAGTGTTTCAAAGGATGGAAGCAACGATGCCACTTATCCAGTCCTTGGTGAGAACCCCAGATTGAGGCTGTGTTCCCCCTTCCCCCAGCTCCCCGCCTGGCACTTACGTCTGACCCCGCCCGTGCGGTAGGTCCAGAGCCGGGTGTCGCACCGCGTGGGGCAGCCTTACTTTCTTCTACTTTGGGCCAAGAAAACAAAACAGCCACAGGCCGCCGAACACCCGGATGTACCAGCACCGCCCCACTGGGTTCTATTGCGCATGCACATTTCGGGCTGCTTGGGGGGGGGGGGGAAGCGGGCTAGAAAAGAACCGCTCCCACTGTGCCAACGTTCGTGCGCATGCTCTGCGTGCTCCATTTAGGTACTTTTCCACCCAGCGGAGTTTCTTCTCTAATGTCTTAAGCGGTGGTTTGTTTTTTTTTTTCTTGGTTTTTGGTTTTTTTGTAATTGGTGGTTTTGAGTACGATCTTGATCTCTTGACAGTGATAAGAAACTGTACTGTCAATTTAAAGGCATGAGGTTTGAATCTACCAGCTGCTTGGCAGGAGCAAGGTGGGCAAGCTCCGCCCATGGAGGAGCCACTGTTGGGTTTGAAAAGGTGGTTCAGTGCCTTTTGAGTTGGTGGGGCAACTCCTCACCACTGTACCACCAGAGCTCCTTTTGGAGTGTTTGCAGAAGAAGTGCGGAAGAGTAGAGCCCAGATCGCAGCCATGTATCCTTTATTTTTGTTTTGTTTATTTTCTCAGGGCTCGCCCCGCCCGCGCCTTAGTCCCCACAGAAGGGCGGGGTCACTTCAAAGAGGCGGGAATTCGCCACTTCTTGCGGAAGGGGGGGGTTTCCTGCGTGGTTTTATCTCAGTGTGGTAAGTAAGTGTGGGAAATAACCCTATCCATTCCACCCCCACTTGTTTTAAGGCAGCGTTTCTCAATTTCGGTACTATTGTTATTTTGGAGAGCTTAATTCTGTCTTGAGCACGTCCAGGGCAGCATCTGCTAGCTGAAATACGTCAATTGCTAT